ACTCATCTTGACCATAATCGATAAAGATGCACCGCTTAGTTTTGACATCCGGTTTTGACCTCTCATCTTTAGGAACATGCACACAAACTTTACACACAAAAACTCTCAGGTGATCATAAGAAATATCTTTGGCAAACCAAACACTGTCTGGGACACCACCATCCAAAGCAACAGCATGAGATAAATTGATAGCATAAGCAACAATATTAAGTGCTTCTGCCCAAAATGCATTTGGAAGTTTAGACTCCAAAAGCAAGAATCTAACTCTCTCAACTAGAGTTCTATTCATTCTGTCTGCCAAATCATTCAATTGAGGCGTCTTGGCGGAGTTTTCTGATGACAAATTTCTTATTCCTTGCAATAGTTATCAAAGGGACCACAATATTCACCACCATTGTTAGTGGGAATACATTTTAATTTCTTCCCCGTCTGTCTCTCAGCTAAGGCCTGAAATTCCATAAATATGCCAAGTGTTTGATCTTTAGATTTCAAAGGATACACCTAGATATTACAATAATGATCATCAATGAAGGTGACAAAGTAAAGTGCATCACCTTTTGACTTTACTTTAAAATGACTACACAAATCACAGTGTACTAGCTCCAATAATTCGGACTTTCTTGAAGGAGGATGGCTATGAAAGAAAATCCTTTTCTGTTTGCCAGCTAGACAATGGATACACCTTTTCAGCTTTGCTTGTTTCACTCCAGAAAGCAAACGTTTCTTAGCCAAACAAGTAATTCCCCTCTCGCTCATATGACTCAATTTTCTATGCCACAATCCTGATAAAGTGTCACTTTTCACCAGATTTATAGAGTCATTAAGAATAGAGCCCTGTGTCACATATAAATGAGAAGACTTGACTCCTTGAGCCACTACTAATGAGCCCTTAGTGAGCTTCCATTGGCTATTAAAGAGGGTATTATGGTAACCTTCATCGTCTAATCTTCCTGCGAAGATCAAATTGAAAGGAAAGTCTGGAGCATGCTTGACATTTTGAAAAACTAACGTTGAACTATTATTAGTTTTCAAACAAACTGTACCAATACTAAACACCTTAACTTCACTAATATTGCCCATCTTTAACACTCCAGAATCAATAAGAGTATAAGATGAGAAAAAATATTTGCTTGGTGTGACATGTGAGGTAGCTCCAGGATCTACTTTCCAACTCGTCTCATGGGATACCAAATTGATGACGTTTTCATCATAAGCAAAAAAAAGGTCATCTCGAACAATAGCAACAACATTGTTCTCGTTATTTTCAACTATCTTTCCTTCTCTAATGTCTTGCTTCAACCTGTGGCAGAACCTTTTGATATGTCCTTTCTTGGCACAGTGGTTGCACGTAATATTATGGTATTTGGACCTTGACTTACTTCTACTTTTACCTCTATTCCTCGAATCTCTTGTTCTATCTCTCCCCCGATCTTCTATAACCAAGATATATGCTTGTGAGGACAAACCCTGAGATTTTCTCCTTACTTCCTTGTTCAACACACCACTCTTGGCATATTCTATGGTTACCTTACCTCCAAGAGCTGAATTTGTCAAAGAAACACGAAGAGTTTTCCAAGAGTCTGACAGAGTATTAAGAAGCCAGAGTCCTTGTATCATCATCAAAATTAACTCCCATTCCAGACTGCTAATAAATGACGCCCTAAATATCATTTATATGATCAGGGATAGGACTGTCCTCCTTATATTTAAAGGTCATCAATTGCTTTAGTAGGAACAACTTGTTGTTCCCAAGCTTTGAAGTATAAAGAGTCTTTAACTTTTTCCACAATGATCTCACATGTGTCTTATTTACAATATGGTTGCGAACATTATCTTCAACCCATTGTCGTATATATCCACACACTTGCTGGTGCTCGAAATCCCAATCTTTATCAGATATACTCTTGGGTTTATGAGCTGCAAAAATGGGTAGATGCATCTTCTTCGCGAACAACAAATCTTTCATCTTGCTTCTCTAAACATTATAATTGCTCCCATTCAAATATACCATCTTGCTCATATTCGCCTCCATTTCGTAAAAATTTAGATAAATAACCAAGGCTCTGATACCACTGTTATGTCGAGAAAGAGGCTAACCCAAAAATAAAGTAGATAAAGAACACCAAATTTTAACATGGAATACCCTTCAAATCGAAGGTAAAAACCACGGTATCACAAAGATCCAAAAGGCTCCACTGTAACAATAAGAGGGTTACAAAAATTCTCCAAATTGCCTACACAACAAGTGTGAAACACAGAGCAACAATAGCAACAAGAGCAATAACAAACAATTGAAGAAAGAGGAGAAGCCAGAAAAATGGAGTTGTTGTTCGGGGCTCAAAATTGGATGCTACGAGCATCTGAATCTAATCTCCACCATTCAAATCAAATCAAGATGTTACAAACACTCAGTCAAAATTTCAGATCGATCCAACGGTTAACGAATCGAAAAATGTGAATAATTTTCAAAGACTCTCTCAAAAACCACTCTTATGTGCTAAAGTCTTTCAAAAACTTGTACCAATGAGCATAGAATAATTTTCCAAGGTTGTCCTATTTATAGATAATGATTGGTGCTTTCTCTTAAAGCCAAAATCAACTCTAAATAGGAAAAAACTGAATTCAATTCCGAATAGGAATGGAAACCAAAAGAGAATAGGATTAGGCCATTGGGCCTTTGACTGGACAACATGGGCATGGACCTAACAATATGCATACTAAAAATCAATCAAGAATAAAATTTTGTACTAACCTATGTACATCAGCAGAAGCTCTAATGTTGCAGATGTAGGCTATCTCTCATGCAATAGTAGTCCAATTCTCTACTCCCCCTTTCAAATATCCCCATGTTCTTTTCTATCCAAATGACATGCGAAACTTCTGCATAAACCATTCAAAAGACTTTGGCTTTTTTGGATCTTCCATTGGCATCCTGAAGTGTCCATTGGAAATGTTATTCCCAAGTAGCTGCTAGTCTATAATCCCATTGCATCCAGCGCCTGATCTTACTCCAAAGGTTCTGGGCAAATGCACATTTGACAAATAAATGTTCCCTGCTCTCATCATAATCGTGGCATATAGTGCATTGTGAATCTACAGCCATCCCCCATTGTGGTACCCTATCTGTAGTGAGAAGCATGCCTTGTAATAACATCCACATGGCAAACTGTGCTTTAGGCCTGGCATTGTTCTGGAACACTAAGCACTTCCAAGGGACTCGAGGTCTATTTCCCAGCAATTGTAAATAGATGTGTTTGATCAAGCTCTTCTAGTATTGCGTCCTTGCATTTGGGTCAAAGTTCCTCTAGTATTAAATATTTATCTAATCATCCAACAGGCTTGCTGAGGTACTGCCATCTGTGTAAATTGCTGACCTTTGACGTGGTAGGAATGGATCCATTTGATCCAAAGCATGTCTTGCTTATTTTCCAGATCCCATCATACTTTTGCAATGGAAGCTTTGTTCCAGAACTGAATGTTTACTAGGTTCAAGCCTCCAATATATTTAAGAGTACATACCTTTTCCCATGATACCAAAAACTTCTTAGTGATACTGTTATTAGCAGACCAAATGTAGCTTCGACAATAGGCATCAATAAGTCTCAGAACCTTAACAGAAAGAGCAAGTAGTTGAGCCTCGTAGGCTTGTAGGGCATACTTTTCCCCATTTGAAGTAGTTACTGTTTAGTTTTTGCATAAATTAAAAAGAATCATCAATAGTATGATAATGTTTTTCCAGAAACACTTTCAACACTATTTAAAACAAAGGCTAAAATTTTCTTCCTAGAAAGCACCATAAATTTGAAGGAAAAAACAAAAGACATAAGTACTCCTAAACTAAGGCCGAATTTTCAACTACACAGTGTCCTATTACCCCTCTTCCCCCTCTCGAGCTATTTTAGAGTAGAATTATTTATACGATTTATGTGGCAGGGGTGTGTGTATTGCACTCTACTTGAGAGAGTGAGAAGCAAAAAATTATAATTTTAGTTTATAAAAAAAATTGCTTTCTTAATTTATTTGAATTAAATATATAATTCTTACTTTTTCTTTATCTTCTTTTCTTTTCTTCTCTACTTCATGTCTTCACCGTACCGTCGAACAACATTACCCGCCAATGACTTTTTCTCATCTTTCTTCTTCAATTTATTATGCTAATCTTCTTTCTTTTTCTTTTTCTTTCACACACAGTCATATTTTAAAAGGATTTATTCATATGCAAAAGTAATACACACTCAAATTTGGGAAAAAAAGCTATCACCAAAAAGTTTTCTCCATGCCGGAGTGAACTCATTAAAATTTTAACCGAAAAGCCTTCTTCTAATTCAGCAGATACACATACACTCATATCACTCACCTTTTAATTATATCAACTATTTTTACGCCACCCACAAATACTAGTCGGATTCATCATCACAAAACCCTCTACCACAATAGCCATTTAAAGGTAGCCTAGCATAGCAATAGAAGGAAAAAAAAAGTTAGATTAGCGGCTAATTGAAGAACATTGATGAATCTTTGTTGTTCACGTTGGTTGGTAGTAACAGACATAATGAAGAAGAGAAAAGAGAAAGTGAAAAAAAGAATGAAATAAGAATGTGAAGAAAGCAACAGACCCATTTACGCAGACTCTAATCAAACAAGGAACTAAATCAAAGAATGGATCTTTATGAACGGTTGAAAACTTTAAATGTGAAAACGAATGAAAAAAAAGAAAAAAAGAAAATGTAATAGGATAAGAATGTAATAAAGGAAAAAAAAGAGAAACAAATTAAAAAATTATGAAACAAACACAAGTGCATATATTTTAGTGTCTATCAAAATTTGATTATCTAATTTTAGGGTGATATTTATTTCGTTTTAAAAAAGTTTGAGAATGATACACCGTGTATAGTTAAAAATTTGGCCTTAGTTCAGGGATACTTATGTCTTTTCTCCCCCAAGAAAAGCACCAAAAATTTGTGTTTCTGTTCTACATTTTCGTTTTCTTTTTATTTTTGCTTATTCCAAACTGAGGTTTAGCCTTTACATCTATAAATTCCCATCCCTTTAAATCTTTTTATCTGTCTCTTCAATTCAACCCAATCCCCTCTTTCTTGTTGGTTCATAATTGTCCGTCCGTCCGTCGAATCTGTGCTTTGTTTCAGCTTCACATAAGAAAAGCAACAATTTTTTCTCCGTCAGCCGTTTCATTTTCCTAGAGATTCGTCAAATTCTGAAGCGTTCTTGAGACCCATCTTGAAGATCTGGTGTTCTGCTCTTAGTTTCTTAGTATATGGACTATGAACTTTTAGACAGCAGTGGTAAGTCCCGTTATTAATTGGCTCCAATTCTTGTTCTATTTCCCTAGGTTTAGGGTTTTCTTAATTTCCCTAAACCCCTTTGATTTTCCTTGAATTCAGGGTCTGTAATTATGTACAATTATGTCCTCATTCTATTTAGGTTATTCCGCAAAGGGTTGTATGGTGTAGATTTGGGGTTAACTCCGCTGGATTACTCTCTGAAAATTAAGGACAAAGAAACTAGGGCTCGGTATGTAGTTGGTTTGTGGCATTTCTCTATGTGGCATTGCTTTATTTTGTAGCGTGTTCTTTTTCTTTGTACTTGTTTTTTGTTAAGTTTGAATGATTCGATGAATTTTTTTATTTTGTCAATTCATTATGTTATGGCGCGATAACAAGCTATTCTTAGAGAGGTTATGTCTTTATATTTGTGAAGAGTACTGATTGTGTGAATATTTTGTTTTAAACTCAGTACATGGCATCTATGGTTTAAGAAAGTTTGTATCAGTCATATCCTGATACATCTATTTTGCTGGAAAGGCAAATCATTATTTTTAACTTATTTTTCCCCTAGGAAAATCAAGTCTTGAAGTTTATACTTTTTTCTTTCTTTTTTCCTTCCCTTATATAGTTTTCAAGCATAGGGTTAATTGCTTCCTTTTGTGCCTTTTTCTATTATTCTTTTGCTTTCTTTGCATATAAGAAAGGGGTGGGGNACTAATGGATTTTACAGTATGCACTTCTTCATTAATGCCTCTTTATTACTTCTTTTCCTTTCATACTCAGAGAGAAAATATTCCTCAAATTTAAACCGCATTAATAATGTATTATATTGTGCAGATTGTTATGTTCATTCATCTGGTTTGTGGAGGAAATGGTTTTATTCTGAATTACTTAGAGAGGCTTTCTGTCCTTGTTTTCATTTTCTTGAGTCTGGATTTAAGCAGTGTCATTAAAAGCCATCACTTCTCCGTTTAAAGTGATGAAGTGATTCGAAGCGAAGTGTTTTTGGGCGAGGACATGTCTTTTAGAGAAGTATTGCTTCACACAATGACGCACAAAGTGATCCCAACGAGAAGCAAATTTTTGAATCTCAACTTTTAGGAGTTGGATTACTATTGGCATAAATTGTATGTTGGATATTGAAATTAGTCGTTTTAGTTACAATTTGATCATTAAAGAACTAAATTCATTTACTTTTTTGATATTTTTAATTCTCCATGTGCATTGCACTTCTTGCTTTGCACTTCAAGCCCGGTTAACCTTAGAAGCATTAGATGTATCGAAATGTGTAGTAAATTCTACTTGCTAGGACTGCCTACTTATTATTTTCTTCTGAAAATGTCCACAGGCTCCAAATATCCAGTTTATTTCTTAATCAGTAGCTAACTCGTCAAAAATTAGGGGATGATAGAAGCTGGGTTTAGGGGGAGGGGGTTGATTAAAAAGATTGTTAACTAAATCGGATGGTTTCTTTCTTAGGTGAATGCATTTTCACCGATCATGTTATGGCCGGTGTAGCAATGGAGTTAAAATGTGTTTTCAACTGATTATCGTTGTGTCCGCTTTGGAAGCTTTGTTTCTCGTAATTTGGTTACACCATTAAAAAATAAAAAATAGAACCACTTGCAATGAAGATATTAAAGGGAAGTAAATCTTACTGTTATCATCAAAATAAAAAGGCAGAAAAGAAGCAAAACGTAAATTGACTTGCAGATGTGAACACTTATGACTTACCTTATAAATTAGTTGACCATTTACTTATTATTATTTTTTTGCTAATTAATGTTGTCAACCATGGAATTTTGTTGTTCTCCCTCTTGTATGCTATAACAAAATTATTTGGACTTTTCTTCTTTTCAAATGTGGTTTTGCAGTATTCTACCTTCAGCTATTTCACAAACTTTTGTTGCTGTGACATGCAATAAAGAAAAAGTTGTTGCCCTTTGTTGCCCTTGTTTTGATAAGTAAGACAAATTTGTTGCCAGTAATGTCTCTTGTCGCATTCTTACTAAAGAACGAGTCGTATGTTTTGTATGTTTATTGTGTTGCTTACAGTGTCTGTGTGGGCCAATCAAAAGATGCATTATTAGCATCTCGGATATTTATCTCGGTGAGGTGTGTTACAATCTCTTTGCATTGCACACATCTGGATTCTCTAGAATCTCCTTTTTTTTCCCTGAATGAAGGTGGTTGCTGAGTTCTCTTACAGTAATAGGCTAAATTCGATATCATTATATCTCTAAAATATAGAGTGCCTGATAGTGGGACTATCATTTGCTTAGTTAATGTTTTACCATAAAGATATGTAGAATCTATTTTTTACATGGCTGTTAACCGACCTTTTTACTTTGTTATTGTTCTTTGGCTGTAAAAAAAGGGTTATTAAGCACATCTTGTTTTTAAATAACTTTTCACAGCCTTTTCTTTAGGTACCTGCATTTCAATGGTGTTTTCCTTCACTGTTTTGCAATTAATGTAGGTACTGATGATGATCTGCCTCAATCACAATATAATAGAGCCCCTGCAGGAAGCATTATCGCTGGAAACGGAAGGTCTAGCATAAGTTCAGCCCCATACCAAAGGATGTATGTTGATATGGAAGCCCAAATTCACAACCTTGAGCAGGAAGCATACGGTGCAATCCTTCGAGCTTTCAAAGCACAGTCTGATGCTCTTACATGGGTATATAACTTTTACATTATGTGTGTTTGGTCTCTATAGCATTCTTTTGAGTAGGCTCTTATGCTTTCCAGCATCTATAATTCTCAGGAAAAGGAAAGCTTGATAACAGAACTCAGGAAAGAGCTAAGAGTATCAGATGATGAGCACAGAGACCTACTAACCAAGGTCAATGCAGATAACCTCATTCATAGGATCAGGGAATGGAGAAAGAATATGGGAAACCAACCTGTTCATGAACAACTCCCTAGTCCAACAGTTTCTGGATCAAGAAAGAGACCTAAAATGTCACAGTCTGTGATAATGCCACTTGGTGCCCCATCCGAGTCATTGCACCATCAGACAATTGGTGCAAGCACACAACCTACAACTCCAGGCGCAAAATGGGGAGTGGCACCAGGAAATGGAGGATTGAGGTCTAGACCTGTATGTTTCTTGATTACTAATGGAGCTTTGTTCCTGTAGTCAAAGATATGGATATCAATGTATATTTGAAAAGTTTAATGCATTCTATCTTTTCAATAGGGTCAACCAGTTTTCTCCTCAAAGCCCGTTCATTATCAACAGGCTGGTCCTGGTTCTTCAGGTGCTCTTCGTTCAGGTGAACTTGCTGAAAGACCAGGTGACTCCTTCCTTGGGAGAAGAGTGATGACTAGGTGGCCAGATGACAACAACTTCTACGAGGCCATTATAACTAAATACAACGCTGTCGATGTACGTTCTGAATTTAATTAGTGTTTTGGGGGTTATGCAATGTGCATAAATGGCGGGAGGGTGCAAATTATCTGTCACATACTTATCAGAAAGGATCATGCTTTCAGTGTCACTAGCTGCCAATGTGATTCTTTTTGCCTGCTTTCTTGCTTTTTATAGAACAATGGTACACTAGTACCTGCCATGTTTATACAAGAAAAATAGATGGTAGCAATGCTCCCTTAGTGTGATATTCAACTAGGAGTATTTTCTTAGTTCTTCTACGTGGTGCTCTCATAATTGGACATACTTCACTCCTTTTGCCTTTTCTCTTCCTTTTCTTTGGAAAAGAGGTTAGTTTAAGGTGTTGCAAATTCCATTGAGAGAGAGAGAGATGTATTACCTATTCTTTAACCTCAAGATATATAGATAGATAGAGGGGGGGGGNGGGGTAATGGGTTCTTGAATTTCTCCAGTTTGCTAATTTTCTTTTATGTAAATTTTTATCATTCCTTTATCCTTAATTTGATTTTTCTAGATAGGATTTTTCACAATTCTTGCTATTGCCTTAACCTTTTCTTTTTTGGGGTAGGGGGTTGGGAGCAGCGGGGAGACACGTTGACTGAAGGGGTTCTACTGAATTTCGCTAGAAAATTATACTGTATATATAGTTGAAATTTTTTGTGTGTGTATATATATATATATATNTCTTGCCTCTGCCACAGGTTCCTACCCTATGCTTTATAAATGTTTAGTGCAAGCTCCTTATGATTTGGCAAGTTCTTTTCTGGAAACCTGACAATGTTGCTTTTAGATTCTAATAGAAGGTTTTTTTGGGTTCTGTTAAAACGAAGATAGTAGGGGATTGATAAAGCAAAATATTACTATAGATGCTCTGTTCCATGGACTAGATACAGGTTTACAAAAAAAATTAAAGGCGCTATAGGGTTCGACTGACTTTTAGAGTACCAAAGTGAATTGTTGCACCATGAATTGTAAAGTCTTCTGACTTGCATTATCTTTGTCCAGGGTCGGCATGCTTTGGTGTATGATATTGGTACACCAAATGAGACTTGGGAATGGGTTGATCTCAAAGAGGTATTCTCTTTTGTTAATTAATTAGCTGTCTTCCTGCTTCATGTGTGGTACATGTAAATTTGGTCTTTAGAAGAGTCATTATTTTAAATTCTTTTGATACATGAATTTAGTACAAATAATTTGATACTGTTCGGATGGCAAATTGGTCATTTTTAATCTTGTAAAGTCTAATTGTTGAATCTTCTGCAAAATAACGATTCTAATCGGTGGATTGACTTATAGAGAACTAGAACTTGCACTTCTTGGGTGGCCTTGCAGCCTTATATAGGTGCCATTTGTGGGGTTTTTTTTGAGATGTTTGCTTAGGTTCCACACTTTTAGCCCTTTGTTGGATAAATTTGTATATATCTCTGGTTCATGATTAATGCAACAATGTATTTCTTGCTCTATCAGGACCTTTACTTAATTCTTATGTTATTTCCCTTATGGTTTATGTAGAATCTTTGATTGTTTTCTGCTTCAAACTTGTTGAGATAATATATTTAATAATTATTAGCGCCAAAGGACATTATATCTTTCCAAAGAGAAGAGGTGTGAAGGACATTGATACTATAATATAGCATTTTGAACATGGAGGACATTAGGCAATAGATTAGTGAAATTACTTTGTTAGTACCTTAAAATGCAGATTCCCTCCAATGATATTCGATGGGTAGGTGATGATCCTGGAATTTCTCAAGTTGGTGGAGGTGGTGGGCCAGGCTATGGAGTTAATACTCTAAGTGCTGGAAGAGGGAGGAGATTTGCTAGGCAACAATTTGAGAATGATGTTCACGCATCACAAAACGGAATTGTACAGAAGACTCCAGATGAAATTGAGATACTACACACAGAAACATTATTAAAGAAGGTACAATGCTGTGTGGATCTTGGTCAACTAAATGACTCATTAGATAACAAATATATAATACATCATTTTAAAAGTCTTTTTCTTTTTCTTTTTTCTTGTCGAGCTATCAGGTTGAGAAGGTTATTGATGCAAGTCACCCTGATCTGCTTGAGATTGAAAAGGCTAAGAAAATGCTCAAGGTAGAATTAGTTCAGCAGTTCCTTTAGCCTATATTTGTTTATTCTGACGTCTGAAACCTGATCATAATTTTTTGACCTGACAGGAACATGAACAAGCTCTAGTTGATGTGATTGCCAAGCTTGCGGATGTTTGTGACAGTGGAAGTGGTATGAAATAATTACGGTTTAGGTTATTCTCTTAGAATCTTTGTTAATCATGGAAACTTGTGTAGAATTGATCTGACTTTTGTCTGGTAGTTTCTTGTTCTACTATGTTGTGTGATAGAGCTTCTTCTTTATCGCCATTTAAGGGGAAGGGTTCCTGGAAAATAAGTTCAGACACTTCTGTTATTCCAACTCTGAGGGAGTTCACTATTACATTTTGTTTTCCTGACTCTACAATTATGGAGGAGTTTATTTCAAAAACTGGTCAATGTTTTTGCGGAATTTGCAGAACTTGAAAGATAAAAAAGTCTGACAAAATGCTATTTAGAACGTTTAAGTTTTCCGCAAAACCCAAAACCCCCTCTAAATATGTTTTTCAGAAAAACTTATCTTCTAATAGTGTTTGGTGGGAAAAAGATTTGAAAAAACTTTTACAGTTTTTCAAAAAAAATAAAAAATCATGTTTTGAAAACAAACTTTGTACAGTACATTTTTTGTTCCAGGTATCGATAATTTCCCAAACAGACGTTTTGGTTTGCTTTATACAACTTACGTCTTCTCAAAAGTTCTGGTAAATTCTTTAGTCATGGCAGCAAGTTTACTTGTTTACCTCTATGAAGCTCGATACAGCTTTTACCAGAATGTTCTGCTAGTTTTGATTGAGGCCACTAAAGAATTGGATTATAATGTCGTGCAAAAATTAGTATTTTTGTAATTTCACAAAAAAAGAGTTCTGTGGTCTTGAAACCTATATTGAACAAAAGTTTGTCCTAAGAGAATTACACATTAGCCCCCATCCTATTTGCATATTCGCATTTCCAGTAGATTGTTTTAAATATGTGATGATGTATCAATGGAAACTATACTTTGATTCAACTGCAGTAGCATCTACCAAATAGTTTTCGCTTGATTCTGAAAAGCATATGCACATCTTCTAATTCCACTTTTTTGTGGTTATACTTTATATGATCAGGTGGGGAGCAGCCCTCCTTTCCTAGAAATTATCCACGTGGGAGCAATCATGATGGCGCCGATATGGAGCCTGAGACAAGGGGAAGATCTCTAGCTAACGAAACAGCAAGAGGTCAAGGCGCACTGGAAAATAAGCATGATGAGGATGTCATCGTTATTTAGTTCATTTCCTTCTCATAACAGCAACATTTGTACTTTGTCTATGTAGGATTCTGGAGCTACTAAACTTTGTATTTCGACTCGATTTTATGGTAGAAATGGATTAAAGTGCCTAAGTTAGTTGCATTTGTTAATCTTGTAAGACATGTAGAGTTCTCTTTGTATGTTCTATTTCAGTAACTTTTAGTTGTGCTGCAACAATGGACTCCTTCCTCCACCTCCCATCCACTGAATAAAGCTGCTTCTGTTTTCTTTTCCTTTCCCAAGTACCTTTTCTTATAATGGTAGTGTTCATGCCAGTTTGCGCTCCATTATTTTACAGAATAACTGTTATCGGCCACTAACACAAGTTCCGGAGATTCCGCCCACCAAACCCGAGATAGATCATTTAGCGTCTTCTTGACTATGTTGGGGATTTGAACTTAGTACCCCATAATTTTTAGAGTGCAAGACTAACCCTTGGGTGTTAATTTCAAAGCGACTATGTTGGGGATTTGAACTTAGTTTCCCATAATTTTTAGAGTGCAAGACAACTTAGTTTCCCATAATTTTTAGAGTGCAAGACTAACCCTTGGGTGTTAATTTCAAAGCCACCCCCACAAATATAGACCATTGAAATGTGCCGAAGTGTTGCGAAGGCATTGCATGTATTTCATAAATAACTTAATGCACATGAAAATCATAATGTGGTAATGAATTCCAGAATCAGGTTCACCATATCAGCATCAAAAGCAGGCCCCTCCATCTGAAAATGGCTAGCTCCTTCAATAAGATGGGTTGTGTTATGCCCTGCAGCATCCTTCAACTTGTTCTCCAACTGTTTAACACTGGTGAACCCATCCTTAGTACCCATCACAAATAGTTTTGGTTTTGGGGATTGTAGTATCGCCTTTTGGTGCTTCCCAAAGAGAATTGAAGCAGTAAAACCAAAAGGATATCCCAAGCTCACATAGGCTACTACTTCCTCTACTTGATCAACTGCAGATCCAGCAATCGCTGCTCCTGTTTTCAGGGAAGGAGAAATTCAACCATTGAAAAACACACTACTCAAGTCCTATTTCACTTATTGAGGCTCAATTTTGGACTTAAGTTGGATTCAAAACAAATTTATTTTGAGAACAAGATTCAGACATGCGATAACCCCATGAGGTTTAAGATGCAGTTTTCTTTCTCTTTTACGGTTTCAAACGGACAACAAAAAAGTATTCAGAGATAGATAGCCGGAACAATATGAAACACACTAACTTTCCAATTTCCCAATTCAAAAGTATGATATGAAGTCTTCGACATCACGATGTTTGGTTGTAGGAAAACCAACAAGAAAATCATTTAAAAACAAAGTAGGACTAAGAACACAGCAATGGGGATAAAAGCAAACTGGACCAAAGAGTTGAGAACCTATATAAATTGTAATAAGGATCTTAAGATTTGAGATTTTCTAGTGCTAAATCAGTTTATATCAAATATTATTTCCTCTCCTCCAGCTCCAAGGGTCTCTTTTGGAGTTCACATCAAGCAATAGTAATTTCTCTTCAAAAACAAAATTGCGGGGTGTTAGGAAAATTTACTCTACTCTCGAGTCTCGAGTAATCCATCATGTCCACCAAAGTTCAGGCAGATGAACTCACTTAAATTTGGATTTTCAGGTTTTAATTTCTCCAAAAGCCCAAATCACATGGTCATCCCTCAAGAATTAGGTTTTAAGTGGAGCCCAGCGAAAACACAGTAGAAAATTCCAAATATAACAATTGAAAAGTCAGTTTTGAACAGTGTTATCAAAGCCGGAAAATTGCAAAAAGCTCTAAGCTCCGTTGGGGCTTTAAGCGCAAAAAGCGCAAATAAAGCGTGAGCTTTAATGAAAAAAGGTACAACTTGAGAAAAGAAAAAATATGTATATGTAGTTCCTTGACCCTTAACAGTTAAGAGCTCCAATGTGAGAGTAATTTTAAATCATCGTCACAAGTTTGGACCTTTATCTCGAAAAATTTGGACAGTCTACCAATTTAGCATTGGAGCTCCGTTAATCAAAAGCAAATACAAACGATGAATAGCAATGAGCAAATGAATGCAAAATTGAGCAATTTCAATAATACACGGACAAATGTGGATCTTTTCCCTAAAAATTTAAAAAGATAATGAATCATCAAACGAAGCCAGGATTAGAAGCATAGAATATTGAACTGACCTGCAGAGGAACCAACAAGGATAATTTTCCTCGTTGAGAAATTAGTAACAGCCCATTTGCAAACGGAGATAACATCGTTAATTTCAGCGGATCCAGTGAGGGAAGCACGCCCACTGGATTTCCCAGCACCTCGACTGTCAAAAGTAACAGCAATTACTCCTCGATTAGACAATCCTCTGGCTATGCCTCTCATCAACGCTTGACATCCGCCTAGAACGGAATAGGGATGCACCAATACTGCCACAACAACGTTGTCTGTGGAATTGCTGTCGGAGATTGGCTGGTAAACTCGAGCGTCCAAAGTCACACCGTCGGTGCTCTCAATGGTACAACTGGTTCTGCTGTTGGTACTACCTTGATCAGCCATGGATTAGGGATGAATTGAGGGAAATTGATGGTGTTAATGTGCTTGGTTTTGGGGAAGAATTAAGTGGAAAATGATGATTGGGTTTATGAGGAAGAATTAAATGAGAATGCAGACTGGTTGGTTGGGCCGTTGGAGAAGTCGGTGACTTTTTTATACTTTCAAAAAGTAATATTTTTAGCTTGTTTTTAGGTAACTTTTAACTTATTTTAAATACTTTTTAACTTTAAAATAAATTTAAAAAAAGTTAAAAAGAATTTAAAATTGATTTGATCAACTTAAAAGTCAATCCAAACGCCCTACCATGTCCCGTCATATTTTGCGTCGTGTCATGGTATCTTAATCTTTTCAATTGCATCGAGATTGAGGGTAGTAAGACAAATTGGTTCATAGATTGCAATGGACGTTTCAAGTTATAATGAGTTTCAGAGGAGACTTCTACGTTTCAGTATCGATGCAAAAGCATTACCCTGATTTAATTTTTATCACTTTCATTGGCGCTGCAACGAGGTTTGAGCGATTATCGAAGTGGCAAGCAGGATGTAGACATGGCTCAAAATGGTTAAAATTGGCCTAACAAGTTTATTTCTATAAAGATGCAGCATAAGAGGTTTTGAATATTTGTGATTGTAAATTATCTTCACATGTAGCATCACGTTCAAATTTTATTTTGAATAAATCTTTATTATCGTCAAATTAATTGCGGCTAGAACTGAACCCATTGTGCATCTGTATTCAATCGTTCAACCATTGACACTGATACTACTTGTTGGGATCGAAATAAAATGGTGCATGCGGAACCTAATAATATGAAGCTTGATGGACGATAAATCAGACAAGAAAAAAATATACGAAAGAAACATACTATATTACTATATTAGTATGATTTGGCCAGGTGACATACGTAAATCTACTAATATTAATACAAAAAAACTAATTGAGAAAATAAATTCTCCCCTAAACAAACTCTTTTATTGGCTACATTGTAGATATTTGTTATTGTTATTATTGTGAGAAGCAAAGATACTCAATTTATAGATGTCGAAGACTTTTCATCCAAGAAAATGATAAGGCACATGAAAGAGATTTATTCCTTGTATGAGTCTTTTTTTCCCTTCCTCCCAGAAAGATAGTCCTAATAGATGAGAAATTCGGGCAAAACCCTAACATTTGAAGAAAAGAGATGGGGTAATAACGTGCGTTGCATGTATGGTTAGAGAACCGTTAGTTTTTGGGAAAATACATAAAATGCACCCCGTACTTGTCCCGAAAAATCAGTTTCATACTCAATTTTTACGGACATCCTAGTACCACCCTATCCTTATTTAAAGTGAAATTAATACTTCATTCAAAGGTGTGGGTGACAGAGAAACTAATTTCACCTTGCTCAAAGCGCGTGGGAGGCTGAAAAAACATAAAAGGCTACTTAAGTTTTACAGATGTTATTTTTTCATTGGATGTTATATTTAATTACACTGAATTAATTCAGTTGTATTTAGTGTAAAACTAACCCTTTTTATTTTTATTTTCCTTGTTCTTTTTTCATTTTCCCGTTTTCTTTTCTGCTCTTTCCTCTTTCCTTTTCTTCTCTCTTTCCTCTATTGTCACAAGAGAGCAGCACCATGCAATCATAATCGTAACAGAATAAAAATTAAAGATTCATAGCTCTTTCTCCACCTATTTTATCACTTCCTTTACCCTCCAATTGTTCTTCACAACTTGGCTGGAGCAAACAACCAAGGTGGAAACGAAAACCCAGCACATTATTGGATCTTTCTTAGCTTCCTCTTGCTTTGTGGTTGTGCTCTATACATTAACTTCAATTTACATTTTTATCTTTTGATCAAGATGGAAAGAAGAAAAAAGAAAAGAAAAACCCAAAAAGAAAGACCATTTTCTTGTCAATACAGTCACCTGACTTCTCTTGCAAATGTTCCATCAGAAAAACTTTTTCTGAAAAAGTCATTTCTTTGGTGGTAATTTGGTTGCTCACGGAGATTCGACAAATGTGGCTGAAAATTTTCCGGCAAGCTGGAAAAGTTGATAAGAATGTTTGGATTATTTTGAAGGAGAGAAAGGCAGGTTTGGATAGGGGAGGAATATTCCAGTAAAAAATTGAAGAAAAACGAAAAAACTTGCGAAAATACCATGTGTAAGCGCGTGTAAACACTACTTGGGTAGAATTTGGTTGTAGCATTTTAAGGGGTAAATAAGTTCTTCTTGGATAAGGATAGGGTGGTAATAGGACACCTGCAAAAGTTGAGCGTGAAATTGACTTTTCGGGGCAAGTATAGGGAGCAACTTATGTATTTTCCCTTAGGGCATGTTTGGTATGATGGATAAGAAATAATTAATCCCGAGACTAAATTTAAGAAGAGGTTATCCCATATTTGGTTGAGAGAAAATTGAGGTATAATTAATCCCAAGATTATAATATTTTTTTATCCCCATAAAAATATAGAATAACTAATCCCGAGATAACTAATTCTGGGATAATTAATCCTGAAATAACTTTTTTCGCCCCCTAGTTTTTTATCGTTAGAGTAGCTGTAGGATGTATTCTGCCCCACTTTGTTATAGTTGGGGCTTTCTTTTTGTTCACAATGATATATCAAGGATAAAATTTAAGTTTGGGATGTAGTTTAGGGAATTTTGAACTGCATAGTCAAATGTTTAAATGATGTAACTGGGTCACGACCAACTCCATCCTTCACCCCCTTTATTTTATCTAGCACAACAAAGGTCATTCATAATAACAATTTATGTTCTAACATTTAGCTAGCATTTGACCATAGATTCACAAATTTGTTTTAAAAAATCTGATTTAGCTGAAGTTTGGTTTGAAGATGAAAATTTGTTTGGATATAATTTTTCATAACATATTTCACTTTTTTTTTTTGAAAAAAACATGAAATGTTACTTATACTCATAAGTTCTAAAAACTATCAAAAATACCCAACAATACCAAACAAACAAACTTGCTAATCATGTATATGCAAAACCTTCATCAATGTCATTGATTATCATTATCACAAACCACAGCCCTGAACATATATAAGTTGACACAAAATTATCATTTTTATAATGAACTACATAATACACTATCTTAAAACTATAACCTGATATTTTAATATCAACTGCTGATGACACAATTACTAGTCAGTATAATTCGTCAAATTCTAATAATATTACAAGATCCATCAGTCCAAAAGAAAATGATAGTAATTAGCTTGTGGTTAGTTGGGTCATAATAGATGGAGGTTTTTTTTTATTTATAAAATACAAAAGTTTGGGATAATTTTTGAAATTGTTAAAAAATAAATAGTGATATTTTTGGGCCAAAAACAGGTCTAGAGTTAGTTTTGGGATTTGAAAATTTTGTTTTCAAAATCTGCCAAAACATTGATAAAATCTATAAACAAACATGTTTTGCCAAAAAAAAAAAAATTTTGGAGAAAACTTGGCAAATTTATTGCCAAACGGGGGCTTAAGCTTCCGTTAATCTAGTACTCAGAATCCTTGATTTCCAGATTTTGAAGTTCAAAGTGTGGGATCTTTCCAGCAAAAGAAGGAAAGTTGTGGGCCAAGCTTAATTTGAGGTCAACCATACTGGGCATAATATTTAAAATAAAACGTAAGTATCCTGTTTGGCCAAGCTTCTTCCAGCCCAAAAGTGTTTTTTTTTTCTCAAAAACACTTTTTTTTCTCCACTTAAGATGTTTGGCCAAGCTTTTATGAAAAAAAAAATACTTTTGGGAAGAAACAGAAACAGTTTTAGAGAAGTAGAAAAAAATAAATTTTCTCAAAAAGGAGAAGCAGAAGCAGTTTTGACTTTTCTTCTTACCAAAAATACCCTTAGTAAAATATGGTATATATCAAAATAGCTTACTTATTTTAAACCCAATACTTAGAATTAAAGATTATATTGTTGAACTCTCCTAATGTATAAATATTTCTTTTTATTTTTAGGATAACTTTCTAATTTATTGTGACTTTTGGGACGAATGATTTTATATTTGTTGAATGATTTTTTGATATATTTAAATCATCTTGAAAGAATTAAAGTACTTTTTAATTTTATTTTTACGTTTTACTTAAATAAAATGAAAAAACTTAATTATTATCTTTAATAATAAATATTTGAGATTATTTATTTATTCATATAATATTAACTATTAAGTAAATTTTTTCATGTCCTTATTTGTAATTTGATACTTTAAAGCACTTTTTGAAAAGCTTTGGTCAAACATAAATTATTGCTCAAAAATATTTTTCAGATTGATTAGCCAAACACAAATTGCTTATCTTCAAAAGTGATTATTCAAAAAGCACTTTTGAAAAAATCACTTATTAAAATAAGAAGAATAGAGTATTCTCACTTGGTGAAAAGTGAACATATTTCTACAACACGAAAATGCTTCAACAAAAGCAGAACATGAACTTCAAAGAACCCTATAACTGTCTTTCCTCTTTCTTTAAATCCCCCATTCCCAGCACCATGCAGCTTTTGCCTGTGGGGGCAGGGAGCAATTGAACAGAGGAGAGGCGCGTCATGATGAAAAAAGGAAAATATAATGGACACAGAAACAATTTTAACTCATACATACAATATACAGTGTCATCACCTCCTTGATCTTTTCCTGGGTTGTTTTGGGGGAATTGCTGCAGATTCAGCTCCTTCCCTGCTCCGTTTACGAGACGGGGGAGATGGATCAGCTCCTCTCTTTGGTGGCCTCCCTACATTCTTTTTCATTGGACTGCCTTTTTCCTTTGCTTGCTTTGCTTCAGGGTTCTTTGAAGATGCTGGTTCTTTCTTTTGATGGGTTTTTGAAGATGCTGGTTCTTTTCTCCCGCCATCTGTTCCACTTTCATTTTTCTTCTGCTCCGATCCGCCTTTGCTACCAGAGCTAAGTGGCCTGCTCTTCAATGCATCTAGCAACAAACCGCTGTTTGAGGATGAACTTTGCTTCATTCGATTCAAGAAGTTAGCAACACCCCGTTTCTTCACATCCGTGTTGGATTGGTCGTTTCTGCTTTCACTTTTAGATTGCGGATGCTGGGAAGAAGACTCCCTTTCTCCTTGGTTTTTATCGACGACTGCTGCTAAATTCTTGATGGATGTAGTGTTAGGACGGCTCTTGTCGTTTTTATTCAAGCTTGCAGAACCTGAAGCAAATCTATCTCGTGTTCTCTTCTTTGTGATTCTATTTTCGCCAGCATTAGTGGCCAGTTGACTAGGCTGCTGCAACGTGTCTACAACTAATTTTTCCGCAGGTCGTGTTATAGTTTGCTCCCTCTTTTTATCACCTCCAGATGATGATGGTGATGCTTTGGCTGTTATGGAACTACGCTTGCGACAGACAATCATTGACCCCGATATATTAGTCTTCAATAGCAAAGAGTCGGATGGTTTAGTTATCTCTTTCTGGGACAAGGATGCTGATTTTAGTGAGGTTTGTTTATCGGATAAAGAATATGACTTGGCTTTTGTCCGGGAGATCTCTTTTAGAATAAGCTGCCGAAGCTCTGTAGCAGCAACAAACTCTGAGGAATTCTTCTTGAAGAAAACAATGGCGTTGCTGACAAGCAGCAACAAATCACGAAAGAATTTGGATTTGCAACTTATGTAGCGGCCATTTTCAAGCCAAGTCTGAACCATTTCAAGATCAACATGCTGCCTAATTAAGTTGCTGTAGTTTTCAGCTTCCTACAAAATGAGCAGTATTATATAAAATCTTGCACATAATCTGATGATAGAAATATTTTTTTTTTCGAATCATAGACTCATCTATAACCCAAAGAGATGTGAAGGCAAGCAACATGATTCACAACATTCACAATGTCAGACAGTAATGCCAAGAGGCTGATCTTCAATAGAATAATACAGGGAGTTCCATAAAATCCTAATCATACAGCTCATAATTGCTCTGTAAATATGGTAAAATTGATCTATGTTTCTTGCCTTTTGTACATTGTGCTGTTTTTATGCGATAAAGGAAAACTTCCATTGGTTTCTAAACACACAATGATGTTGTTGATCTACTACCAGTAAAAAAAAAAATCATAATACTTGATATCTTTCACATGTGGCAAATAAATTAAGTTTTTTTTAAGTGGGTCGAAAATGGGTTTATTTTTTTTTAAGTGGTGCCACATGAATATTATGCAACATGGGTTACCAAAGTGGCAGCCTACTCTTCTGTTTCTGGGACAGATTTAGCATTTTTGGCCTCTTTATTTTATGTGGTACATGAGCACAGTTGAGTTATTTCTATGTTGCTGAAAAAAAAAGTTATTTCTATGTTATAAAAAATAGAATCCTTATTTTTTCCAACTTGACATTAACTTTCCCCCCCAAAAAAATAAACAATTAACAGAAAATCAAACAATCACTATCACACATGCTTCCACGTCGGATTTTGATTAGGATAGAATAACCACAATGCCACTCTCACTTTAACAAACAATCTCAGTTAATCTTTCAGAAGTAAACATAATAACAATAATTTAACAAAGAAATAATAACAATAATAAGATAACGTAAAAGAAAAAGACGAGATTCTTGTTTTATCACCTGGCTTTCGAGCCGACGCTCAAACATTGAGCCGAGCTTATGACTTCTAATCTTCTCGAGGAAGACAATCAACGGCTGAGATTCAACGGGTATTTCTTTAACGGCGGGAGATCTATTCTCCTTCTCACGTTCATCTCCGCTGCTACACCCGCCGACCACAATATCGTCTAACTTCTTCCTCGATTTGCTCACTGAGCTCTGCACGTCTGAGTTCTCTTTCGTCCCTTCCTCCCCTCCTTTTGACTCGGCCATCGATTCAACCAACTCCGGCGACTCGCTCACTGGTTCGACTTTCATTGTCACACCGACCGGCGGTTTTTCTACACTATCCGAGCTGCCATTACACGAGTCTTCACGAACCGGTCTTTCTTCACCACATTTATCTGGTTCTTCCTTTATGCTTCCGGTTTGGAGCGGTTCTGTCTTTACGGTTCCGGTTCGAACCGGCTCCGCCTTATCCTCGTTCTCTGCGCTATTTTTTAAGCTGCAGCTGTGTTTCGGGTCCGTAGAGCTCGATTCGTTAACTGATTGTTGATCCTTATCGGAAGCTTCTTCCGATGCTTCATCAGCGGCTACTAATTCCGGCGAGGACTTATCCTCCGGCTTAATTCCGATCTCAGTTTCTTCAAATTTTTCGTTATTTGCTCCTCTCCATTCGTTCTTCACCAGATCTGACTTCGATTCTCCGTTTTCAGTCTGTTGCAGACTCCGTTCCCTCTCTTCCTCGAGTCGTCGTTTCTTCAATTGCAAAGACCTAAACAGAATCAAACCATTACTTATACATACATATATTTGCATGTGTGTATATATATTAATAAGATGTGAATTCAGAGATGTACACGATGGATAGATCGTATCGTTCAACTTCGCGTCTGAGTTCAGCGACTCGAAGCTTCCGTAACTCCTCAAGCAAAGGAACACACACGGTTTTCTCCTTATCTTCATCGTCATCATTAACGTTACCATTACCGTTACATTTGTTTGAGTAACGGCGTTTGAGGTCAAGGTATTTGAGTCTACAATTATGAGGCGATAACAACCGCGCAGGGGCGGTGCTCCGTTTCTGGAGTTCAACGGCGACGGAATCCCAGCTCTTTGTGCCGTAACGATTGACGGCGCAAGCTAACAAGAGCTCTTCCCAGGTTCCCCATCTTGATTCTTCTTCTTCCGATGACTTCTCGACGGTTCCGTCCGGTTTGGCCATGAATGAGAGACCGATTCAAGTATAGGAATTGTGCTCCGGCTTGAAGTTCTCTGCAATTCCTCCGTCGTTTTTAGGGCTATTTCTCTATGGGAAAATGCAGATGACTGGCTGTTCATCGGCTTCAGGCTTGGCTTATTGGCTATATTAAAGCCTTAATTAAGCATTCTTTGGATTGGATAAGTTCTCCTATGGCTATGGCTTAACACTGTGATCCTACTTGTTCATTTGTTTTTATTCTTAACTAGTGTCGCGTGGAGTCTAGAACCCATTTGTGGTTGTTTTTGCCAAGTAGGACGAAAATGAGTGTAAAATAAAAAGAGTTATATAACTATATATAACGCTCTTTTAAAGAGCGCTATTATAAAGAGCGTTATACATGTTTTGTGGGCCCACCAATATGTCTCTTGCGTTTAACTGACATAACAATAATTCAAATGTGTATAGCGTCCTTTAAAAGATCACTATACCTAAAAAAATTCAGCCCTCCCCCCGAGCTACGCATTGCCTTATTTAAAGGCGTTAGGATTTTACAAAAATCCATTCAAAAATATTCGTAACTCCCGCTCAAATTTTTCTTCTTGTTAAATTCTCAAGCATTTTTTCATAATGTCTTAAGAGCGAAAAGTAAGGGTTTCATTATATTGGGGGGTGAGGTTGTGGTGGCGAATAACTCTGTGAGCTATAGTTTATCTCCACAGTGTCATGTTAAGTTGTCACTTACAATGAAGTACGATAGATTAGTATCGTTGTTATGTAATAAAATGAGTGTGAGGAAACGTTCGGTGAACCTTAAAGTAACCGGAAGATATCCGTATTCCGTCACTCCGTAAGGGGTTGCTTGTTACGCTGAGTTTAACATCGACGATGATGAAACTTTGAGGAATTTTTTGAGGACTCCGGATGAATACCGAGAATTTCTTGTGATAAAAATGTTGGAAATGTATGCCAAGGTCGAATACGTTCGCAATAATGAGGTTGCGCATAGTAGGGATAACCCTCAGTCATCGGGTAGTTATTCTGGAGCAGTTTTTGCCGGACAGGTTCCGGATGAAAGAGTTTGCCCTGATTTAAACTTATCACCACCGGCGAATGAGGAGCGAGGAAATAATTTCTCTCCTGCTTTACATAATCCACAAGACGAGTGGTAAATTTTAATTTTTCTTTGTGTTACGATGTATATTGTTGTTGTATTGAATTTGTATTAACGCTCACATATTCCACAGGGTGTACCGGCCAGATATGACTTTTACAAGTTATGAACCCGCGGCCAGTTGGAATATGCGTAGTTCTGGTGTGTTGGATCATGGTGGTCCATCCGGGAGTCATCACCAACATGATAATGTCCATCAATGAATGTCAACACATTACGACTTGTAAGTGAAGTGATGCAGCTATATGGAAAGTATTTATTAATTTCAGTAATGATGTTTATTTTGTTATTTTTGCAGTGAAAACGAGCAAGTTGAACAACCTGTCCTGACTCAATTGCCCGAAGATGACATATTAAATCCGGATCTGGCAGATGCATAGAGTGAGGAAGAGAACAATGATTATGACAACAATGCCGATGATTCCGGAGACGACACACCCTTCCCTCGTGAGGATGGTGATGAGGAGGAAGAGAATGAAGGACCTGATTTGACGAGGGAGTATGCTCCAACCCCCGTTAGACCAAGAGTGTACGAGTCCCAAGTGTCGTTTTATTCAAGGAAGATTCCCTACCTTGATCATTTGCCAAGTATGTCGGATATGGATGCTCTGACAAGGGATTTTGATGAAATTCGGACAACAATGTGGGATGATTCTAGACCAACGGTGCTGGCAAAGGGCATGCTTTTTCTTGATAAAGTACGCCTAAGCAGGGCGGCGAAAATGTACAGCGTAAAAAAGTGTCATGAGATGACGGTATGGGAGTCAAGTCCGGATGTATACAAGGTTGTTTGCCGCAAATGGTTTACGGGTTGTCATTGGATGCTGTATGCGAGCAAGAAGAACACAGGTCTGTGGAAAGTGGGTAAATATATTCCCACCCACAAATGTGAAATGGACACATTCAATGGGAATCACTACAACTTGGATATTGACTTGATTTCTCCTCTCCTTATTCCACATCTTGAAGCATCCATAAGGTATAAAATCAAAGAGTGCATTACATCAGTCCACCAGAAATATGGCCATACCATTACCAAAAGAAAGGCATTTCTCGGGCGCAAACGTGCGTTTGAAATTATTTATGGTAACTGGGATAAGTCATTTGTAGCTTTACCCAGGTACATGGCCGTACTGCAGCACTTTAACCCTGGGACGGTTGTTGAATGGAAGCTTGAGCGGAGTCCGGGAAGACCAGAATATATATTCAATTACGTGTCCTGAGTATTTAAACCAGCAATTGATGGTTTTCCGCATTACCGGTCGGTAATATCCATAGACGACACTCATGTCTATGAAAAGTATGATATCAAGCTGTTGATCGTCGTTGCAGTAGATGCTAATGGACAAATATTTCCTCTAGCTTTTGCTATTTGTGCCAATGAAAGCCAAGAGACGTGGACTCTATTTTTGAACCATTTGAAAGAGCACGCTGTCAAACAGCGTTCCGGTATTTGTCTAATATCTGATCGGCATGGTGGTATCTTAAGTTCTGTACAGAATTTGCCTGCATGGCAAGAACCTTATGCCTACCACTATTACTGTGTGAGGCACTTGAAGACCAATTTTCAGAAGGCACATCCCAACAAGGATCTGCATGATTTGATGTGGATGGCAGCAACAGAACACTAAGAGCATAAATTCCGGAGGCACATGGAATCTATCAGGCAGGAAGACGAGAGAGCCTATGGTTGGTTGATGCGATATGAGCTTGACAAGTGGACTTTGCATGCGGATGGTGGAAGAAGATGGGGAATTCTGACTACAA